CTCTTAACTGAAATCGATTTATATAAAAATCTCCTGATCTACATGCATCTTGTGATTATTTTGAAGAATATTCACAGTTTATGATGCATCAAACCGTACACAGTCACAAGTCCGATGACAAAAGAGTGGTCAACATGAGGCTCCACCACCAAGGTCAGTACATCATCTCCTAAGAATACTCCTGAGGTTGATTGCTTTCTCCTGGCCTGCCCAAGCACCAAACACACAAACTAAATGTTAATATTTCTCATGACATAAGGTATAAAGAGACCGAACTATATAATATATAGCCGGGTCCCAAATCATCAGTTATTTTTCTGGAAGAATCAGAAGGATACCTCTGCAACAATTTCACCATTGCTGTTTGTAATCTTGAATGCTAATTTTCCAGCCAAGGATTCTAACTTGTAGTGGCATCTCTGATCAGGAGCTTCGCTGGATCGAACAGTAATTCGACAAGATAAATTGCCTTGGAATATTTCTGTATTTTTAGCTAGGAAATAAGGCTCTTGATTTCTTAACTTTAAGCCATCACTTTTATAACCCCTCCACTGTCTGAAGAAGAATAGTTTCTGCATAAATTAAAGATAAAAACATTAAATCTTGTGACAAAAGGGCGGTCTTTCAATGATCAGACTGATCACAATTCGAAATCACGAACATACCCTTCTAAGTATAGTGAAGAGAACACTGCCCTTGAGATCCATGAGATAAACTTTATTGCTTCCCTTCTTTTCATAATTATCTACTCGATAAACAACCTCACCATTTTCATTATAAACAGTGCACCCATTTGTTTGCATCACAAGTGATTTCATCCATATAGTGAATGTTTCCGGCTTTGAAGAGATATAAGAATTAGTAGAGGTAGAGCAAGAAGAAGAATCAACTTGTGATAAAGCATGAACCTTGGCCATTTGAATCAAGCTTGGTTAGCTAGTGGATGAAGAGTTAGCGTGGATTTTTGAAGATGCTTGATGTGAGAATGAGACTTGATAACATTTATGCGTGTTGTAATGTGGGTATGTATAGTGAAGCCATTAAAAGAGAAGATAAGGACACGCTTATGGATATGGTTATATATAATTTATTTCAATCTCACACGTTTATAGATGGTATGCATAGGTCCTTACTCTTCGATGTGTTTGCGTATTATAACACGAGGGTTCTCATCTATGACGAAAGTTCATTCCTTGTCTTCTTCACTTGGCAGCACTGGTTTGTGGTAGACTTCCATGGATTTGAAATGGGGTTATTTTCTTTTCACTATCTGGATGATTCTGAATGACATGAGAAACAGCAACTTGCTGCATCAACCTAAGCCAAAGCCATCCTTTATTTTTTTCTTAAACCATGACTGTTTCATGGTTTAATTAATCAAATCCAACTGCTAATCTCTTTGTACCGGTGCAAATATAGATGGATAGAGTAGGTAGCTCTTTCCTAGACTAGTTTCATCAAGTCCATTTATTGTCTACGTGTACAAAGGAAGAAGATAGCCATTCTTTGGTAATTAAATCGATGGTTTTTTAATTGCTGGTCGAATAATATCAGATCACGGCTCATTCGAGTCAATCTTGAAAACGATATAAACCTCTCTTCCCAAGAGACTTCAAGATCAGGGAGAAACAAATTTGGATTCCAAACTCAGACTACTAGAGGGCATCCTCTCGAGGACTACCAACTTTATAATATGCCATCTTCTCTCTAGAAGTTGGCAAGCAAAAACACTTGGTTTTCTGGATCAGGTAATAGAAAAGAAAGCGCCGGAGCTGCTGTCTTTTTCATGGAATCTGATGGACAACATTTAAAATTGTTCTGATGACAAAGCGCTAGTGTTCATTAAAAACCGAATGGTGTTTAAAGAAAGTATGAAATGTAAAGAAACAAACATGCTTTGCTTGTAGTTGGTTTGATTTGGTCGTTGAAAATATTTTTGCAGACCGGAGACCAGAAATCAAATGTAAACAAGTGCTTCATGTTACATGTGTATGTATTGGCGACAATATAAAAGAACAGAAATCAACAAAATGATAACAATACCATACCTTAAATCCAGGGGCAGAACACAGTATATAGTTTTTGAGAATGCATGTTCCACGATACCAAAAATATTTATAGAGAGGGAAACCTAAATTATAACAAGACCAAGGAGGGATGTTATCGACTAGTTTTTTTCATACATTTGATCCGTACTGATAACGTTTAGGACATGGGCAAATGCTACATTGTAGCACATGCATGGAGGGTGCCTGTGGGGGAGAATACGGTGCATTTATAGCTTGTAGAATTATTGTTCGCAGCTTAATTAATTTCTTCCGTCATGGATGGTGCATTCTCTATTTATCTCTTATAATAACTATTGCTATTCTCATCTCGCTTCTTGCATTTAATTAAAGAGCTACAACAACAAAATGAAGAGAAGCTTTTATTAACTTGTTTAAAATGTTCTTTTTTTTTCTTTTTTTCCCATCAATATATATTTATCAGGGGAGTTGAAAGAGAAACCTTCTCCAATTGCTTCAAGATTTTTCTTTCTTTTATCCTCATTGTTTTGTATTGGGAATTGATGTCATGGAGAGATATATTCAAATATTTCTTTCTTGTTCTAGGGAATAAAGTATATTAATCTATATGATAGTTCAAATAATTAGTCGGAACCCTATGGCCAATCTGATATTTCAATTGATGCACAGATCGGTCGATTGTATTTTCTTTTAATTTTGATTATTCACACAACTAGTATTTATGTTATGCGTTTAATTAATTTGTACGTGTTATTGTCCCATAGTTTTGTGCCATAAGTATTTTGATCAATCCACAGTTTTGTGCCATGTGGATTTTGATTATTCCAATCCATGGTTTTGATTATTCATACAGCAAGCTAGCAAATCTCTTAATCATCATCAAAATGTATTTTGTTGTGAAATTAGCGTCTGCTACTTTTAATCATGGATGGGGATTTTTCCGCACGAAATATTGTATTGGGAGATAATTTTCTATTGTGCTGATCTGTATGACAAGTTTGATTATTGGGCAGAACCTTTTGGAAAAATAGCTCTTATAACAAAAAAAAAACAATTTTGTACGTTACTACTATAGTCTATATAGAACAACACAATTTTGACTTTTAGAAGCGGAATCTCACATTTCTCTGTTTTTTTTCTTTATATATATATATATATATATTACACGAATCAAAATAGTTTTTTTAAAATAAAAATTACTGTAGTTTGATAATATGGCCCAAATGACAACAAACTTTGTTACCATTTGAGTCGTGGTCTCAAAGGAAACACCCACATTATTTGGACCCAACTCAAACCAGCCGCTCCTCATTTTGTTTTTTTGTTTTTTGGATATATTTTGGGGTGTTTTTTTGAGAAGTAAGAATACGGGCACACACAGAATGTCCATATATATAATATTAATATCAGACACTACAATGTAATGTAATGATGAATATTAACTTTTTTACCAATTAATTTTAACATTTATCAGGCTCTTCATCGATAATAATATCAATACTACAACATATAAAAATATTAATATTTTTATCAATCAATTATTATGTTATTTTTTACGTTTATGATAAGCTGACATGATCAAAACCTATAAATATCTTAAATCACTTATTAAATAGCGAAACTCATTTTTCTTTCGTATTATTTTTCTCCTGTCAACTAATTAAATATTGGAGAATCATTTGTTCTACAAGGATTTATTCTTTTAGAAATACTGAAGTCCAAACTGGAAACCCAACTTGCACGTCTTGGCCGTGAAAAATCTAATTTCTATGTGGACTTCATCATTATATAATTGCAATTGCTAGCCATGAATGCCTTATGATTACAAGAGAACATGCAACCCTGTATTCTCAATGTTTTTGGTGTCCAATGCAGGGAATAAAAATTTAGAAGAACTTAAATACAAATATTGCAAGTCAAAGTCTCTCATGATATACAAGGTAATAATAATTTCATGCAACATTGGTCAGTGGATATGATGCTCTTGACATTGTCTAAATGCATGTATTCAAAGAGAGATGCGTACGCATGCAGCTTTCTTGGAATGAAACCTCAATTATCAAGGTTGGCCAGCGTATGGAGTAATCCCTTTATTATTTGGTAACGATATATTTCTCCATAATAATGCTGATGATGTCCTCGCGGAGATCATCAAATGAAGTGCCTTTATCTAGATGGATTCCAAGCAGCGATTTCAGTGGCATATAGTCTAGTTTTTCAACTTTGGTTTGCATCTCGCATGTGTCCCGTTAGTCTCAATTTGTTTTATGAAAACGTGGTTGGCACTATGCCACTATGCAAGCTTCTTTTGTAGAGGTTGGCTATATGTAGCTAGCTGGGTAGCACCGCTACGCCTGTAAATATCAAACCTTGTCGCAAAATTAGGATGTCGAAGGCTGTGCAGAGAATTAGCTAGAGCGCCTGTTTGATGTGTGAGCTAAGTTGTATCGTTGACTTCTTATCATAAAACAAAAAATAATTTTCATAGACGACTCATGACAAATTAAAATGAATTAATTTAGAAGTATATTTAACAAATATATGACTTAAAATCACATTTTCTTTTAAAAGAGAGATAATGTAAAGTAGAATCAAATCTTAAATATTGATTAAAACAAAAATTTAATTCAATTCTATAAATTTTTTATTCAAGTCAACGTTATTTGTAACAGAATATATTTATGATATTTTTTATTAAAAAAAACTTGAATCAATTCACAGAATTATTTAGTTGCTTTCACGAAAGAACTTACCTCACACATTGAATATTCTGCCTCGAAGATCTTAACTATTGATGAATATTTGCGTGTGCACCTATATCAGCCCTCTTTTGAAAGATATTTTTGTTAGCAAAAGACAAACAATTGAACAGAGAGAACAGATTAATTAAGCTCAAATAATATATAGCAACATTTTCTACAAAAATTAAAAAATAAAATAAAAAAAATAACAACGACGAGGAAACTTCGGGACTATACACTTTCATACCCTATCCTAGTAGACTTCTCTCCTCTCGCTGCCTCTACAATGGCCAAGATATGCAGTGGCTTCTGGTCTTTGAAGCCTATGAATATCACTGCTGTCTCACTGTGCATCAAAAGCAAAAGACAGTAATATCCTACAGTTTATCATTGATCAACCCATAGACAGTCACAATTGCCATTATCAGGGAATGATCTATGTGAGGCTCCACAACCAAAGTTAGCACATCATCCCCCAGTGAGATTCCTGAAGATAATCGTTTTTGCTTCACCTGCATTAAACCAGCAATCTGAAGAATTTAAACCTTAAACCTGCGCTTGCAATAAGGAAAACATAAAATCAATATGAAGAAACGGTATACTAATTACCTCTGCAATAACCTCTCTATCAATGTTCACGATTCTAAATGCCTGTTTGCTGCCCAATTTCACCACCCAATACTTGTCAAATCCTACAGTAACTTGACAGGCAAAGCTTCCCATACAGATAAGTCTGCCATATGTTTTCACTTGAAACCATGGCTTCCCCTCGTTGGCATCAGGATTCCATCTATAACCATACCAGCACCCTACAATCTGTAACCTCTGCATGGATACCGATCCAAAAAGAAAAAAGAAAATCCCCATCCATTAAAATGATTAGAAAATTGCATCAAACCGATAATTATAACAAGTTCACTGGAGATCGTAATACCTTTCTTCGTATTGTAACAAGAACTCTGCCTTGAAGATCCATGAGATAGACCTTACTGCTGCACTTCTTATCATAGTTGTCGATGCGATAAACAATGTCTCCACTGGAATCAAAGACGGTGCAGCCATTAGCTTGGCACACAAGTGATTTCATCCATATAGTGAATGTTTCTCTTTCTGAAGACACGAAAGGGTCTAACACAGATCTCTGACTGTGAGGAAACACTTTAGCCATTAAAGTAAGGAAAGAAACTTGGTCTTGAAAATGGAGAGTAATGTGTTAGGGGTAATTTATGTTCCAATGAAGTTGGCGTGGCTCTGTTAAAGTTATTATTATTTAATTGGGTTATGCCAAAAATGCAACATCAGCTCCCTACGGATACCCTTTCCTTCCTAGAATTTCAAGTTTTTCCTTGGCCGTCGGCCATTGTTTAAAGTCAAATATCATTCCGCTTTTACAATTTTAGAAATTAACAAGAGTTTGATGATGTAGAATTCACTTTTTTGAATGTAATACACGTGGATGACATGTCACCAACTTAACCATCACAACAAGACATAATTAAAACACGCTCTAAAGTATAACCTAACATCAAGTGCCTCCGGGTCTCCTTTGTTCTGGCCACCGTCGCTGTTCAGAGCTTTTTCTTCTTCTTTGTTTTGTTCCCGCGAATTTCATATCTAATATTTTTACTACGTGCTTTATATGGTATTTTCAGTTATTATTTCTCCTTTTATTTTTTCGGTCCTTTCATGGGTCTTCTTACAGCGATAAAATTCTTATACATATTACCACTTAATTTATCTTCAGATATCTTCTCTGGAAAAAAAACAAATATCAAGTGAAAGATTGGTGCAAAAGGTTTTTAGAAAAATAAGTATTTTTCCTAGTTATTTTAATTTCTTTTATTTAATTTAGAAAAAACATTTCTAGTTTTTCTACTTGAAAAGAATTCCTTTTTTTTTCCATATATTTGTTTCCTAGTTTTTTCTATACAAAGATTCGTGATAACCTTTTCGTAAACTTTAATATTTTGACAATTTTAATAGAGAGATTGTTCTCTTATGTATATATGTATGACATTTAGGATTTCTACTAAGCCCAATTTTAGTTCAACCCTTCCTAGTTTGCCTGTCAATCCTAATTATCTTTTGTTCTCAACAACGTGAGATGGTATTAGAACTAAACTTTCTTGTGGTTTTTGTTGCACTCTTAGAATTACGGAGGTGGTTAAGCATAACATGGTCGTGGCGAAGGGGGGTATTTTTAGATGAGACCGTTTTGTTTTAAGAGAGAAATATTCATGAATTGATGGTTAAGGATATGCAAAGACAAGTTAAGAAGTTGACCCGTTAATTGGTGGCTCGAGATATGAAGAAGCGACTCCATCTCTAGACTTGAAACTTGTGTCACAAGTGCAGTAAAAGAAGACAACCTCTTCTCTAGAATGATCATCGTGACGACTTAAGTTTTCAGGTGGAACACTTCAAGTTTGTAGGCACCTTGTAGGTTAAATGATTTATTGATTAGCTTCATGAGGTATGTTAGTATCATATGAGACTTTCTAAAATAAAATTAATTGAGTCACCACTTGATAATTAAATAAAATTAAAAAATTTAAAATATATATTTATTTTAGAGATTCAAGTACTGGATTAATTATATTTAAAAAAATTAATATCTTTATTGTATCCTTTCAAATAAAAAAATTATTTTTACTATATATTTTCTCATAAATTTTTTTTAACATGCTATTAATTACCTAAATTATTCTTACACTTATCTTTGTGATTTATTTTTATATTATTCTTTTTTAAAAGGAAGTCAAAGATTCATCAAGAAATTTAATGTTAATCACTAAAAATATAAGATTTTGTCAATTTAAGATTTTTAATTAAAAATTATAATGTTAATCATAAAATAAAATATCCATAAATTTTAGATTTGAATAAATAAAATAAAAGTTTTGATATTAATTCCTAGAAATAAAAGATTTTCTCGGTTTTTTAAAAAAATCATTTTATGTTAATCTCTAAAAATAGAATATTTTAACAATTTTTTATTTTTGATGAAGAATTTTGATATTAATCCTAAAAAATAAAAAAAATGTGTTGATTTTTACTTTGAAAAGAATTTTGATGTTAATTAACATCTGGATGGATACACTCCATGAGGCGGGACCCTACAAGGTGTTGGCAGCAGCCAGCAGAACCCATTCTTCGGTCAATAACTGGTAAGTGATAACGAGAAGAAAAGAAAATAGTGTTTTCCTGTGCCCGACGTCACGTGCCGGCTTCATTCCTTTTTTACTTTTTTTTTTTAATAATCAATTAATAATTAAAGGAAACATAATAAAACTAAAAAAAAAATAAAAACAAGTTCAATTAAAATATATCAAAATCTAAACTTCATTCTTTATATGTTTTTTGTTTGTATTTATTTGAGATAAATGACTTTAGTACTGCAAAAAAAAATATTATTATATTGAAATTTAATAACCCAGATAAATAATGACTTTAGTACTTTTAAACATACTCTATACCACACGAACCATCTATAAAAAATGGGAATGCGAAAAAAGTTTCAGGATATCAAACAAGATTGTCTTTGGAGGTATTAGAAAATCACATATGCCACTCCAATTGGGTAATAACTCTTCAATTAAGTCCCAAATCTCATATAACTCATTCAATTTAATTCTTAATTTGCCAACAACTCTTTAGTTAGGCATAACTTGCATTCAATTAAATCCCTAATTCAATAATACCTCTTCATTTTGGGCTCAAATCTCATCCCACTCCAGCTAAGTCTTTTCTTTCAAATTAACCTTATATTCTCTATTAAGTCTTCAATTTAATATCAATTCTCATCCAATCCAAGCTCAAATAAAGCTCAAGTAGGGATAGAATAGGGGAATGGAAAGGAAAGAGATAGTTACTCGACTGAGTTAGCGTATTACGGTCATGTTCATGATCCAGGTCACACATTTAATGTTCATCTCGGATGACTATATGTGATCCAATATATTATAGTTTTAATATTAAAACAACATAAAAATATCATCTTTTTTAAGGCAACCCATATGTTTCTAACTTGTCTCACTTGGCTTTGAACTAGCCAATTCAATTAGCTTATATCAAAGTAATTCCCACATTATTTAATTTAAATATTAGCATAAATAAGTAATTTGAGAGTTTTCAAGACTAGGTTATTGGCCTAAGTTTACTAATATTATCAATGAGTTTCTGCAACCCGCTTATTTTTCTTAGTTTTTTTTCATAATAAATGGAGTTTAACCATCATTGATTTTATGGTTTTAATTTTTTAATCATATTAGGTTTTAATTGGGTCAACTTAATTAATATATTATCGCCAATTTTGTGTGTTATGAATTTACATCATTTATTTACTAAAAAAAAAAATAGTCTCTTTGTTACATTTCAAATTCGTATCAACAACTAAACTTGAGTGACAAAATAGTTATATACTAGCATGAATGTGTTATGTATTATTAATAATCATTTATAAAAAAAAAAAATATCAATTAAAGTTAAAACTAATTCAACAAATTATTTATTTTGACACATATTAAAACTAATTAACTCATTATTATCATAGTTTTAAAACCTGATTTCGTAGCCAATCATGCCCAAGACCTGAGTTTGAGGTTTTGATGGGTCATTAGGTTACTTGGTTAATTTTTCTAAATAATCAAAACAATATAATTTCAATTAGATTTTGTTGGATTATCTGATCAACTCTCCAAGTCACCTCAGTTTTTTTTTCCCCTTTCAATCTCACTGGATACCAGTCCTGATCAACCGGTTTCTGGATAGCCCATGCCAGGCCTGGTTTTAAAAATATGAGAGGCAATTCGTCAGCCCATGTTGGAGGTTTCCCTGTATCCTTAATCCTTGTACTATTTTCATTATAAAATAACACTGCTCATGCCTGAGTCGTTACGGATCAAGAAAGGGAACAAAATAGCGGCCGCACGCAGACATGTATATAAACCATTAATGTTCTATTGCTCTTTAATTGTTGCCAATGAAGCACTTGCATGTGATGTGTAAAAAATTAAAAATAAGATCAGTATAATAACTTTTATATGTGGATTAAGATTCCAAATCGGCAGCTCCACTCACTTAGTGCACACGTACGTGTATATACGTTGAATAGATCAACATCTTACAGTTCATTGTTTCTTAATATTCTCTTTTATGGTCTCTTATTGTTCTTGATTGATCCAATCCCGCAATGAATAAGTGGGGTTAGTTAGATTGCGTTTTCTACACGTACGCCAATGTTTTCATCCTGCATCAAATTAATAATTTTATGGAGGATTACATGCATATACGTACATTTGACCAAGCTCACACACGTGTGGACGCACCGAAGTAATAAAAATATATAAGAATGGAAATATATTCTTCACCGATTTGGTTGAAATGATTTCTAAAAATAGCCAAATAGAAGCAAGTTCTAATCATTATTTCTTTTTTAATAAGTTATGTTCAAACAGTTGACTCTTGAAATTTAGGTTTAATGTTCAGAAACTTAATAAAAATATCTTATCGATTCTAAGGCAAGAACGTTATATATATATATGAGGGGAAGCATATGTAAGTCAAAATGCTCTCAGCTAACGGAAAGAATAGATTATAGTAAAAGCAAAATGCATTAAAGAAGGAAGGCTTGGTGAAAACTCAAAAAAACACCAGGAAAAAGGGAGGTACTGGACTAGTGGATGCTACGTGCGTGAAGAGCAGGCTAAGAACCCAAAGTTACTTGTCTAGGAGATTAATAGGCCGTATCATTTTTATTTTTTATTTGTGTAATAAAAGACTTTCTGATATTCAACAACTCAACTCAATATGTGTTCTTATCAATTTTAGTTTTTAGTTTAGTTAATTTAATTATTTAGGGTTTAGAATATATAGATCACAGTCATTTGATCAGTTTACTAGTTTGATATAAACAATTTTATATAAACAATAGTGTATCCACAGTATTTTGTGAGAGGATTGCATTGTATATAGTAAATCCCCAATACATTTTAGATTTAATAATAATAATAATAATAATAAAATATGAAAAATAGTTGTATATCACCAAACACATACATAGTTATTTGATTTGTGCTCTATCACGGATTATAAATATTCTTTAAAAGAAAACATGTATTAAGCTATTTCGATATATTTTTTACATAAAATATTCAAAGAGTGAATCAAAATTTTTATCCAAATATCTAATTAAATAAATTGATAATCATCTATAAAAATAAATAAATAAAATTTGTTAATAATAACTCAAAAACAAACTAGAAAATTTAAAAGATAAATGTAGATAAAGATATTTGATTTTGTAAAATAAGATATTTACTCGTTTGTATCTGTTTAATTTGTTTATTATAATCAATAAAGATAATAGAAATAAAAACACATATGGAATTTAGTGAATAAAAGAAAAGATAAACAAATATTATGCAAGCCCCGTATATTAGAAATATTATTTTAAAATAATTATTTTTTTATAAAATAAAGCTTATCTATATAAAATTCTTCAAAAATTAAATACAAAACAATTTTCTTAAAAACAAATCTCTATCCAAAAAAGACATGATAAACCACTAGAAAAAAAATTAAAAATAATCATAAAATTATTTTTTTATAAAAAATAATAATGTTGAATAATATATATATATATATATATATATATATAATATCTCTCACCGTTTTTAATTAAACCCGTAACCCATGTGAAAGAAAAAAAAACCCATAAATAAATATTTTATTTTTTTGTTCTTTTCTAAGGACAGATATATTTCAACTATAACCTAATAAAAAAAACAAACCCGTAACCCATGTGAAAGAAAAAAAACCCATAAATAAATATTTTAATTTTGTGTTCTTTTCTAAGGACAGACATATTTCAACTATAACCTAATAAAAGAAAAAACAAAAAAAAATCTTGTTCAACAACTCTAGGTTTTTCACCTTAAGAGTAAATAAATATTTTTAACAATTTTAAAGCTTGTTAAAAGATAAGAACACCATTGATCATCAACTCAACTCTAAATTTTGTTGACTTTAAGAATAAAAGTCTAACGTAAAAGTGTAACTTAATTGTGTAGAAAAATTAAAAAAAAAAAACTGTGATACTCCCAAACAATTTTATAATGACGAACGAATAATTGAGAAAAACTAAATTATCCCCAAGGTCATCATTTTTTCTACCTAAAAGAAAATTAATAATTTGATTGTAGCAATCCAAACATCTTTGTCAAATATATTTTAAAAGAAGAGCAGGGCAACATGGGCTGTGATTTCTAAAGCTTTGACAGAAGCAAAGGTAGACTACACAAATAAAACGGGCCCAAACCCAATAAACAAACATCATACAAAGTGGGTCTACTTGAAACCCAGATTAAAAGTGGTCACCTAGATTATGGAATTGGGTAATAAATTCTACAACCACCCCATAACAAACAGCCTATGAAATAAAATAAAAAACGTTTTAAGAAAAAAAAAAAAACAAGGTGGTCATTTTAAAAAAATATAGGGGACGAAAAGGTCTATTCGAAACTAGTAAGAATATATTTTCAATTCTCTTTCCAGGAGAAAGTTCAATTTTGTAGATTACCCTCTAGGAAACCACACTATCAATTTTTCATTCTCTCTTCCATAGTGTTATATATATATATAAAAGAGTAATTCTCATGTTCAAGTAAAGATATCTTTATTTTTTATAAAATAAATATGCATCATCATCTTTAATTTTTCCTTAACCTGCATAACTTTATTTGTTAGGGTACTACAATTAAATTTATAGTTCAACTTCAATTATAAATTTCTTATCTGCCAAGTCTTTTGATGAAAAATTAAAAGAAAAACCTTATTTGTCAAAAACAATTGATAGAATTTAATGGTATTCCAATTGTAAGAAGTAAAATTATTGGTAATTTTACAAAAATAAAAAAGATGGAGATTTTTTTCCATCACAATTAAGATTTTCAAACTTATATTTTTTAAAAAGAAAAAGAAACTAGTAATATCATTTTAGTTTCTTTTTAGATCTATTTTAAAGAAATAAAAATATATTATTAAAAGTTCTAGTTTTAGGTGAAGATATTTTTGTTGTTTTTTATGGGTAATAACTATTATATTCTCTTCTCTTTTTGTCTTTTGTTTTATTAAGTGAGTCAAAAAAATAAATATTATTAAAAGATAAAATTTAATAACCCCTCTGCCTGGTGTTATTATGTTATTTATTTGTCAAAAATTTAGACAAAAACAGGTGTAAATGGAGGCTGAGCCCCTATAAAAAGCCGAAAAATAGAGGCTTTGACATTCCATATAAAGTGAAAATGGTTTAAGCCTTGGCACACGGCATATTATATCATGAAAAACAATCTAAAATTTTATTTGTTATCTTGTTTTAAAAATATTTTAAAAAATTAATTTTTTTTTCTTTAAATTAATATTATTTTAATATTTTTAGATTATTTTAATGTGTTCATATCAAAATTAATTTTTAAAAATAAAAAATATTATTTTAATATATTTTTAAATAAAAACCACTTTAATAAATAACTTTAATTATATTTAAAAAAAGGTTGGATCACTTTGGACATGATAAGAAATAAACGAGCCATACAGTATCATAGTGCAGTGGATTACAAATGAATCTGACACGCCATGGACCCATTACTTGAAAATGCTAGCTCAAATCACTTGATGGAAATCAATAAAGATCTTCCACAATTGCATAAGCTACTATGTATCAGCAAATAATCTACTCATTAGTAATTTTCTACTGGGTAGTCGCATTGCAAGGGCTACGCGCTCATCATCTGTTTCCATCTGAAACATGCCTTTTCATAGGTTGAAGATGGTGAGAACGAACCCCTGGTGTTGGGTTGTTACTAGGCAACTGACAATGACAAAGACCATTAATTTAATCGTTTTCATCTCTTTCGAAGAGGACAACGATAATTGCACCGCCATTATTTAATCACTCTTAATCACCAGCACACTCCAATGAAAAGAGCTGCAAGACCTTCTTCAATGTCCGAATGACTACATATAACTACTGCTTAGAATACCATTGCAAAATATGAATATCTATACAAAATAGGTAATTATAAGGTAAGCCAGCCGACAATTACTTAGAATCATTTCTTATCATCTTTCTTCTCCTGTTCGGATGGGCCAACTGAGATTATATCTATTTTTCCTATTTTCTTTAGCTTCTTCGCAATTGCAACTGTATCCATTTCTCCAATGACGGTCAACCTCTGCTCCTTCAAATCAGCGGCAATTGAGTCAACCCCTGAAATTTATGAGCATGTACACGGTAATGATCGACTTTCAAGTTTTCATTCCTAGTTTGAATACGAGAAGTTAGCACAAACTGGTTGCGGTACTACAAAACTCATACCTGATACTGTCATTGACTCGTAATTCAAACAATTTGAAAATCATGACAAGCAAGACATTAATTCTAAGTTATATAGCTAGCACTGCGTTCCGGCAAACTAATTCAATGGGAAAGATGTATTGGACGAAGTGACCGAGGAAAGAGATACATCTAAAATAAATGGAAGGGGTGAGGCCGTAATGTCCATTAATTCCTTACCGTAAATATTAGCAACAGCCTCGATAGCTTTCTGCTTTGTCTTTTCATCATTCATGGTCATCATCTGTAGAACCACCTTCTAAAAGAAAAACAAAATCATACTACAAATATATCAAACACGAAAATCATTATGTGCTGTTTTTATATTCTTGGTTGTTATAGCCAGAGAAGACAGCAGAAACAACAGCTCATGGGATTAACTGTACCTGTGCCATTTATCCGGAAACTATGAATATGAAAAGTTGAAGAGCTACAGGAAAATTAAGAGACTCAAAACAACGTGGGGTTGGGGTTTTGAGAAATGAATACATTTTAAAGCAAGTTGCCCTTGCCTTGGCTTAGATCATGATGACCACTATGTTCATGCTGCTGGCCACTATTGCAAGGAAAGGCCTTTTTCTTGCTTTTCTTACTCGATTCTTTTCTCATCTATAGTCAATAGAGAATGAAGAGGATTACACTTTCTCATGCATTTGCTTTCTTTCTTATATAATATTGATAATATTTTTTATTAGTGCCTTTTTTTTCCATTTGAGGACAAGCTTTTCTGCTTAAAAGATGTATTGATATGGTCCAAATGTCCAAGGAACAAAATATATTATTATGTTATTAAAAAAAGAAGTAAAAGGGGTGTGACTCACTACATATTTTTACTGTGGGTTGGTTTTTATAAAAAAAAAAATAATAATTAAATTTAAATTAAAAAATAAAATTAAATAAAAACCAGTTCAAACTGACCGGTTTCAGTTTGGTTCGATTTTGATTATTAGAACAAAAACTAATTGGCTCAATTTTTTTAATTTAGCTCGGTTTTTATGGTTCGGTTTGTGTTTTTGGTTTCAGGCTTATAAAACCAAAATCAAAATGAACCGGTTAGTTTTTTCAAAATTCTAATTGGTTTAATAAATTTTTTTTCATAGTTTAATTTTTTTAGTTATTTTTTTCTAGTTTTCTCAATTTAATTAGTTGTTTTATTTTTTTGTTCACCCCTAATATAAGTGTTTAACTGCAAATGGCATTGTTCACGCACATAAAACACATTGGACCTACTATGTATTTTTTAATAATTTATTTTAATTCTTAAAGTTTATTTTTAATTGCATATGATATTGTTCACACACTCATAAAATACATTGGACATACTATGTTTTTTTCAATAATTTACTTTAGTTCTCAAAATTTAATTTTAGGTGATTTAATTCTAACTGAAGATTATTTTTTTATTTATTTATTAGACAAGGATGAAATTGAGAAAAGATGAACTAAAATGAAAAAAACATCAAACATGATTGTGTGCCAAGGATTTCATAAAAAATACACTTTACCCACACTTTTAAATTAATACAAAGTATACAATTTAAGTCCCTTTAAATTAAAAAAATAATTTTAATACAAAAATTTATTTGTATTATTTTTTAATCTCTAGTTAGAGAGAGAATATAGAAAGGTATCAGATTCTAGTGATGAAAGAAGAAGTTATCGTTCAAGCCATTTTCGACAATCAAAATGGATTTTTTTGTTGTCCACAAGTTTTATAAGATAAAAGGGGTTTGATGATAGTTATTTAAAGCATCAATGTTGCATGAAAAAACATATCTAAAATAAAAAAAATAAATCTAACCTTATTTGATTTTGAATTTTAGGACTCTTTTGGATATTTTTAGTTAATGGATTTACCTGTGATGTTCCAAAGATCTTAACAAGGTGTTTTTCTATTAAAAAAATTTTAAAATTAGATTTTTTAAGAAAAAAAATTATATTAATTTTTCAACCATCACAATAATAACTAAAATTTAAGCTAATAAAATATAATATATATCATCTGACCTATGACAAGACAAAGGTCACATGGCAAGTTACATCAATGCCATTTTGGGTTTCTAATGGCTTCAAGATTATATAACAAGATCATTTTAGTTGTAGTGCGCGCAAGCTGGTCCGAATATCTCATATAAATAAATAAATAAATAGTGCTGGGATGATTGACATCCAACTAAGCTTAACTATTCACCCTTTATTTTCTATAATTTTGATTATTATATACTGCTTGTGATCCGTGATAGCAATTGTGATTTTTATTATAACTCCAGGGGTCTTGAAAATCTTCTTTTCCTAATTTTGTCTCATGTAACTATAAAACTCAAGTAATTATCATTTGTTCCTAATTTTATATTCATTTCATTTTTCTCGCTCCTGCCACTCTTTGCAATCAAAGCGACATTATTGGAGGATTAGCTTCTCAAACACTCAATGGACGAGCAATCAAAGCTGTAACCACCCTCTATATTCCGGCGGCTTCTGCTTATTTCATCGAGCCGTGGACTCGATCATAGTGTTGTGAAATAATCACAAAACGATTAAATAATGAAATAAGTGGATGTATTTGTTTAGTTTCTAATCATTATAAAAAATGAGCATAATAATAAAGCAAACGTATCAACTTACAAAAGATACAAAAAAAATAAAATAATTCATAGCATGAAAATTAAATAAATATTAAAATTATACATGAATAAAACTAATTTAAAATATTTATTTGTTGAAGTTCTTAGAAAATACCCCATCTAAATTTTTTATTGTTGTTAATGATTAATCATAAAATAATGTTTAATTACTGTACCAAAATAAAAGAAACGAAAACATAATGTACCAAAATAAAAGACATGAAAACATAAAAGACAGAGACACAATTTCTTCAATTTAAAATAATTAACACTTTAAGGATAAATTCAAAACTTATCAATACAATAATTGATTTGAACACAAAATGAAAAAAATGAAAAAAAGTTGTTAGAGTAAGCATAACACATGACAATATGTTAGAGGGGCCATCGCGCTTTAGTGGCGCTTGTATAATCTTTAATGTCCAATTCTACCCTTTTTTTATGTCATCTAATTTGCTATATTATAGTGTATTTTCACGTGTGATGCTAGTTAACAGGGGCTTTTGGTTTGAATTCAAAAAATCATTGTTCTTCTTTTTTATTTTTTTTAAATTGAATTTTTTTTTCAATTTCATCCCTCAATATTAAGTTATTTAAAAATTGCGCTTTGTAATTTTTTTATTTGTTTTCTATTGAGTTATTGCGATCTCGTGACCTGAGTTGGATTAGATCAATTTAGTTTGTCACCATCTCAATTTCTATAAAAAAGAATAAAAATATATCATCTCGTATGTCATTGTCTTGGTATTTAAAAAATATGTTGTTTAATGTACCAAATTTTGAATTCATAATTATATCATTTTTTTCCTAAAAAAGACTTTAGTAAAAAATAAACTTTTTTTTTACATATAGAGAAAAAAATAATAATTCAATGTGTAGTGTAGCATGGGTCATGGTCTATTAACCATAGTTTTTAAACCCAGCTCGGTCCAAGGCCTGGGTTCTAGATTTTGACCGGGTTACTAGGTTTTGACCAGGACACCAAGTCAATTCTAATTTTAAAAAAAATTCAAAATGACATCATTTTAGTAAAAAAAAATCAATGGGTTACAACCGAATTTTGTCAGGTCAACTAGGTTACCGAGTAAACCTACCTGGTCACACCAGGTCATGACTTTTCCTATTTTTCTTCAACCCGACCTGTTTCCAGCCTCGGGTCGGCCAGGTTCTGGGTCAACTCGTCAGGCTGAGTCGGGTTTCAAAACTATACTATTAACTATAACAAAAACTTAAAGAGTAGGTAGATTCATAGTTCACCTACTCACAAAAGTACTATTTACTTGAATAATTTTTTTTTTATCCATTTATTTTTTTTTATATTTTTAATTTTATTCTTTAATATTGGGTTGATAAAAAATTATGTTTTATAATTTTATTTTTGTTTGTTTTCTATGAAGTTGTCCTGGTCTCAAACAAATTTCCCGGCATTGTATTGATGCATAGTTTTGAAAATATCTATTTTCTTATCATATAATAAAATAAAAATAATTTTCTTTTAAAAATAAGTTTCTAAAAAAAAAAGTTATTAAACTCTAGTGAAACCCATGAATTGAATCAAGGGTTTAATGGGTCAACTTGTTGATGAGGATGAAAAAATTTATCAATAGAAAGATTTAAAGCGCTTTTTATGGACTAATAAAACTAGACACAAAGGATTTGGGGGGCTCGATAACACCTCTAAGAAAAACACTTTGAAGCTTAAATTGATATAATGTATGTACAAGTGATAGGAAAAATGAGTATTCTCTTGATTTAAATGTTCATTAAAACTTGTTTAAGTCTTATATTAGACTTAAAGTCTAGGAAGATGAGCTTATATGAACTTTCTTAAGATAAATATCTTAAAAAATATCTAAGATATTTATAAAGAGTTGTACATTGTATAAAACATTATAGTTTTTTCATGTATCATCAGAAGCTTCCAAGTCTTGCAAGTAAATATATTTGAAAGACATGACCTAGCAAGAGTGTAAAAGAAAATATTTATAATAATGTTACCTTTCGGCATATACAAGCTGCTATAAAAACTATTTATAGATCTGATCTTCTGGCATAGTTGTAGAGTATAGCCGTGGACATAGTTATAGGTGTATCTATAGATATAGTCATGGGCATCGTCGCGAGTGTTGCAATGTATAGTCTTTAACGTAGCCATATGGGTATAATTACCAGCATAATCATATAGAGAGTAGCCTAGGCATAATCATTGGCATATTGTTGAGCGTAGTCTTAAACATAATTGTTGTGTTGGGTTTCATATATAAATTAACTAGTTTTTTTGTTTATTTTCTACAAAAAAAAATACTAAATAATGTGGAAGGAAAAAATGTTAAGAAAAAAAATTGGAGGTGTTTTCCGGCTAACAAAACACTCCATAGCTTAAGTAAATATAGTGTTTGTATATGTGATGGATAGTATGAGTATTCTAATCGCTTAAATGTTTTTTAAATTTTTATTAAACTTGTAATAGAATACTCGCTTAAATGTTTTTAAAATTTTTATTAAACTTGTGTGTTAGATTTGAAGTTTAGAGAGAGATCATCACAGGAGAGATGAGCTGTAATCTCTCTTATAATCTAAAAATATGAGTTTGTATAGATTTTTTTAAGATATTTACGGCGTCACTGAATGCTAACTTGCTTTGGATTAGAACACTTTTCGCTAGTACTTCGCATCGCTGAATGCTAATTTGGCAGTCAACTGTAAGTCAAGCCGTCCCTAAAGATGCCATTTATTCTGACCTACACTTTTTATCTTCTAAAATAGAGATCTTGGAATCCTGTCTGAAAACCCCGCCCTCTACTACTTTCTCCTGGGCTCTTAGCTCAACTGAACCTTGTTAATACCCAGGTATTCCACCTCCCACATATTATTTTTTATCTCAAAAAAATAAAAATAAAATAATTCAGCAGTTAATTACTTACTAGTTAGAGAAGATTCTTGAATCTTGATCAGAGGTGTATGAACTAACAGGGGGAGTGGAACAGTAGAAGCTTCCGAACTTTTTCAACAGGTCCATTGAGGAAAACACAAACAGAAAGGTACTTGCATAGAAACTTGATTCTCACTCAAGGCACTGGACTGCTCATGTCTCCATTCCACCAAGCTAGAAGAAAGCTCGAAAGTTCTTAGATCAGAAAAGGGACAGTCAAGTTCCATGGATCGGGAGTTGTTGACAAGTCTCTGAGATTCAAGTTTGGATTAAGGCCCCAAATGAAGAAGGGGCTAGCCACTATTAGGACTCTCCTCTTCTTACTAGTCCTCTTCATTGCCGTCATCATATACTCTTTATGGATCGATGCTGTAAGTTCCAAAACCTCAATGATACCTTTCAGCCCTGCAGTTCACTTCGTTATATTTAGTTTAAGTTTTCGATTATCTGAATTCTTTTATTTATTAACATTTTTTTGCAGTCTAAGTTTTCTGATCAAAATCTAACAAATGTAATAATCTCTCAAACACACCAAACCCTGATCATCACTAGAAAACCCGAATTCCCCCTAAACTGCACCATCACAAACCAAACACAAACCTGTCCTACAAACTATCCGAAAACATCCAAAACAAAAGATCAAGAAGACACATCATCTAAACCAGGATGTCCAAACTACTTTCGATGGATTCACGAAGATTTAAGTCCTTGGAATGCGACAGGAATCAGCAGAGACATGTTGGAGAGAGCCAAAACAACAGCACATTTCCGTCTAATAATTGTCAAGGGCAAAGCATACCTTGAGAAGTACAAAAAGTCTATACAAACAAGAGACGCATTCACTATATGGGGCATTTTGCAACTCCTGAGGAGGTATCCGGGTAAGATCCTAGACTTGGAGCTGATGTTCGACTGTGATGATCGGCCAGTCATCCAATCAAGTGATTATCGTGGACCGAACAAGACAGGCCCGCCACCGTTGTTTCGGTACTGTGGCGACAAGTGGACCGAGGACATTGTGTTCCCTGATTGGTCCTTCTGGGGATGGTACATTTTCTGACATCTTATCCTTGTGCCTTTAGTTCTTCTGTTGATTTTTATTTGTTTTCTATGAGAATATTCTAGGCATTAATAGGAATGAGTCGGTTATGGCGGCTCTTGCAATAATTAAGACCAGTAAATCGGAATGGTCAACCTAAATGGAATTCACTAATTTGATGAATATATCTGCGAGAAGGTTAGCTAGGCCTGCACAGAATATATTACAGTGCAATGGAATTCTCTGATCTGGACCTCCAAGCATGAGGAATTGATGATAACCCCTCTTGCTAAATACACTATTTTTTTTTCCTTCTCTAGCTTTTTATATTATCTCATCATGTCCCCATGAATCTCGAGTGATAATCTTCACAAACGTATGAAAATGGTTTCAATTTTACCCAAATCATGAAATATATTTTATTTTTCGGATCATGAGTGTTTTTTTATGTTCTTGAGTCTTTCTGCTAGAGATTATAACATTTGGGGCTTCGAAGGGGAAAAACGGGTGAGAAACAAGAAAAACAAAATAGAAGTATGAGCAAATGTGCCCTTTCTATCAGTTACGTAAGAGTAAGGGGTAAAATTGAGATTCTCTTAAAACTAAAGTGGTCTGGGAAACTTTAAACTATGGGCCCGAAGTAGAGTATTTGTGAATTTATAAGTGCAAAAATATAGTTTACACAAGATTTATTTATTGTCTTAAAATATAACAACGACGCGTCGTCCTCCTTGAAATAGCTGATTGAAGTCGTCAAGTAGAGTAACCATATTTTACAGCTAAAATGTCCATTCTTTAAAAAATAAAATGAAAAATCAGCTTCTGTAAACTGCTTATGAAAAAGGGTTTGTGTGTGTGTGTGAAATTCTTGTAGGGCTGAGATTAATATAAAGCCATGGGATAAATTGCTGATAGACCTAAAAGAAGGAAACAATAGGAGCAGATGGATAGATAGAGAACCGTATGCCTACTGGAAGGGAAACCCCTTTGTTGCTGAAACCAGGAAGGACCTCCTTACTTGTAATGTCTCCGACCAACAAGACTGGAATGCTCGCCTGTTCATCCAGGTATTTAGTCCTTCTGTAGTAATACTCTGTTCCTAAGAATTGTCCCAGATACTATTCTCACCGTCTAGTTTCTAATGACGTATATATCGGGCTTCAATATTCAAGAAAAGCCTTTCTTGCGCAAATACTCTGTATATATCTTCATCACAGACATCGAAGATAAATATATCATTTCTTGTCTCCAGCATTTAAACCTTAGACATTCCATGATCCAGGTATTAATGAACATTTCAACACCCTTCGCAGGACTGGATCCTTGAATCCCAGCAAGAATTCAAGCAATCAAACGTGGCAAACCAATGCACACACAGGTTATAATATATTTCATGATCTGGAAATGATGCGATTAATTTTATTTAATCGTTGAACGTTCACTTTTTTGTGAAATATATAGGTACAAGATCTATATCGAAGGATATGCATGGTCTGTAAGTGAGAAATACATTCTAGCTTGTGATTCTGTTACGTTGCTTGTAAAACCACATTACTACGATTTCTTCACGAGAAGTCTGAAACCTGGGGAGCACTATTGGCCTATTCGTGAAGATGATAAATGCAAGTCCATTAAATTTGCTGTAGATTGGGGCAATAAACACCAACAAAAGGTAAACCCTAATCTCTAATTAGGTTGGCACATATCAACAACTCCGTGCATCACGATTTCCTTCTTAAACTACTGGAGCTATATATAATGATACATGTTGGACTTGAAAGGCACAAGCAATTGGGAAAGCAGCAAGTGATTTCATTCAAGAAGGGTTAAAAATGGACTACGTATATGACTACATGTTTCATCTCCTAAATGAGTATGCCAAGCTTCTGAGATTTATGCCACAAGTGCCCGAAGGAGCTGCTGAATTGTGCTCGGAAATTATGGCCTGCTCTGCTGATGGGTTCGAGAGAGAATTCATGATGGAATCATTGGTAAAGGGTCCTTCTACTACAAGTCCATGCACCATGCCTCCTCCTTACAAACCCCTCGTCCTAGGAGCCTTTTACAGGAAGCAATTGAATGCAGCGAGGCAGGTGGAGAAATGGGAAAATAGATATTGGGAGAGTTTGAACAAGAAGCAATAGGGGCGCAATAAATTCGTGCTAGTTCTATGTCACGTTTATATTGCTATTAGATGATGTAAAAATATTAGTCATAACTCTATGGTATTCTACAGCGAGGCAGGTGGAGAAATGGGAAAATGGATATTGGGAGAATTTGAACAAGAAGCAATTGGGGCGCAAATAAATTCTTGCTAGCTCCATGTCACGTTTATATTGCTATTGGATGTTGTAAAAATATTTGTCATAACTCTATGGTATTCGATCGTGAGGTATGACTAGGAATGTTAGAGCATTTCGAATACTAGAATATTACCAAATTTACCAGTGAAATTAAGATAACTAGGATCGAGCATGAAATAATAGAAAGGGAGGATATTATTCATATATAGTTGTAAAAAAAAAAAAGGATATTCTTTTATGTTTCTCAATCAATGAGTCTTGATTATTTCACTGTTCTCATTAACAATTTCATTTTGTTCCTGTAATAAAATCCAATTCAATTATCAACAATTAACTCACATGGTGATCAAAATATAAAATATAGATAAATCACAGAGCCAGACAGTGCTATTTTCATTTGATCACGGGAAGCAAAACTCTATTTTTAAGCAAGCCTCGCCGAATACCTCTCGGATACTGGATGGGTGTTCTTCGGTCCACTGAGCCTTGTTGCAATGAGACTGTTAGACCCTAGTAGGCTTTTTTCTTTGTTGGGTTTCGCCCTGTTATAGCTTATCTGAACTACTTCGGCCCTGCTTTCTCTTATCGCCGGTGCTCTGTTTAGTTGGATGGCCTTCATGGAGTTTTCAGATCATTTTTAATTGGTTTAAGGCTCTGGTCCATTACTCGTATTCCACTGACAAAGAATATTAAGTGGAGCCCATAAAAATGGCGACCATGGGATGTACACTTTTGATTATTATATCGGAAATAAAAAGACATGGATACTTAAAATTAAAAAAAAAATGTTTAATTGTAAAAACAGAGAAAACAAAAGTTTTTTTTTTCTCAATTACAAGGACAATTTTAGCCAATTTTTTGTCCATCTATAAATGAGAGACGAGAGAGACAAAGACAGAACCAAGTTTGTTCCACAAATATGCTTTTAATATTTCATAGTTTCAATCTTTTTTATTTTACTATTTTCGTATATATATATATATATGTATCAGTATTTTAATTTTTAAAAATTCCTTTTCAAAATATAATTGTATTAATAGTTTGGTTTTTTTCATTTTATTAAATTAATATGGAAAAATAAATCGCTCAAAATAATTAACCAAAGAGTGATTTTATTATAAAAACAAAATAAACATTTTTTTAATTTTCTAATTAACCAAAGAGTGATTTTATTATAAAATAAAATAGGTCCTTTTTTTAAATTTTCCAGGATCATGAAATAAAATGAATATTATTATTAGAAAAATAATATAATAATTGATATATACATAATATAGAGATACGAAAATTGGTCATGTTTTTAAAGAAATTAGATTTAACGATGAAGAGTTAAGGATTGACTGATAGCTAAAAACATGCATTTGTTATGAAGTTATTATCTTGCATTTTTCACCATGTTACATTTTAACTTTGTATTGGTGTAAATATTTTATTTAATATATGATTGGTTTAATTGTTTATTTTATTATTAAATATATTTGGATAAATGATTTAAGAATTGGGTAAATCATAATTTAATTATATTATCTTTTTAAAAATGAATCACTATAAATTTTTTCAACATAATTTTGATGAGTGAAGAAATTATCATTTAAAGTTAATTAAAAAAAATTAATGCTCATTATAAACTAAACTGAAAATAATAATCTCAATTTATTGTTCTAAATATTGCAAGATAGTAATATATATCTAAAGTAAAACAAATTTTTCTATATTATATTTTGTTTTATCCCTCATCAGTCTAATAAAGATATTTACTATGATCTCCGTCGTATGTTTCATCTCAGCCTCTTTGCTCGGAAATACCTATCTTTTCTATCCTGCACTCAAGCAGCTACGTTGATGATTGATGAATTCACATTATGAGCTTTTCATCTCTGGACCCTCTTTATGATTGCCTGCAAGAGCATTAAAAATAAGCCTACCGATACAGTCACTGCATACGCTGACATATATTACAAGAGTATTGATGTGGGGGATAGTAATTAACTTGTGTTTCATATATAGATGTACCTATGCAAGCCAATTTAGTGACAAGGAGCTGGAAATTTTCAGCACAAACAAGCTAAATATTGTTATTCTAATACGAACTCCGCCTGCAGGAGATGAACGCAGTCACAGAAAACTGAAGTATGCTAGTAGTTTAAACGTTAATAATCGAGTGATAGATAATCAACTAAAATTAAAAAAAAAAATCTCGGTTTGAATCATATCACTTGCATTTCTCGACTCATATATAAATATGCAATTAATTGGGGACTTCAAGTTGGCCAGTTCTCCTTTGTGATTTCGCTGTTAAAAATAGCAGTCTGCTGATAAATCGCGTCTAGAAATATATCTGTTATATAAAAAAATAAAAAATAATTCATTGAGTATGTATCCATTCATTATCATTAAAAAAAAAGGTACTTGCTCATTCAACGGACCGCAATGGTATGAACACTAGTGAGCAATGAGATTGTTTGGTCCCAAAAGTAAATGAGCTCGCAGCATGCCTGAATTACATATCTAAGGCTATGATTTTGTTGTTGATTTAGTAGCAGCTGGAGCCTGGCCCAGTTAATAAAGTGGTGTCGTCTCTACTTTTTTTTTTTGGGTATCCGGGCCAGCTTGCGCGCACCACGATTAATCCCATGAGTCCTGAAGTTAACGACCATGTCCAGTTAATAAAGTGGTGTCGTCTCTACTCTCTTTTAAGACACCGAGAAAGGGGAGATCAAAATGTCCCTGCCAAAATAAGCTGCCATACTTTGGACAAAAGCACCATGTCCGTATATCAACCACATCTCATTTTAGTTGGAGATGTTTTAGTTTTTACTGTTGAACCGGTAGCTCTCCTCTCCCTGAGAATAGGGTGCCCGTAACTAATAGGATCCAACAGTGAAACAAGGGATTTCTGCTATAGACTTGAGTAAATCAAGGAATATGGCTTCCGTTCTGAAACACATACAGAGAAGAAAATCGAGTAACATCGTGACCATATAATCTGAGTTACATAATTTGTATTCAGACAAACGGATTTTAGAGACAGGTTTTCAAATGATGAACTTCAAAGATATAGTATTTCGATTCTTCTCCCGCACCCGTGGTAAAAAAAAGAAAAGGAGGGATTAATTAATGGCATCGCCATTGATTTAACAGATACCAAAACGTTACTTAATTGCATTTTGCTTGATGGAATGATTTTCCTTTTCTGGGGGATTGATGGAATGATGTTGATGCCAAACGACTTGTGGAGTTTTCAAGAGCCAGTGTTAGGTTTAAATTTCATCATGGGGAGAGTTTGGTGAAGGTAGCCATTAGCAAACCCATCAAGGCAAGTCATTGCCTTCCACATAAATAGAAGCTATGAAGATTAATATTATTAGACCGTTTCTGATGTAGGAAGGAAATATAAAAATTAGTTTAAAATAGCTCACATACCAGAGGTTGGTTATGCAGACTAAACAAAAGAAGAAGAAAAAAACATTTTTTTAATAAAATTATCAGTGTTGTTTTTTACTGGCAGTAGCAGCCCTTTGAATACTAGAAAAACTATAAGTAAATAAAAACCATTGCACTTAAAAATAACTTAATTTTTAACCATTACATTAAAATTACCGACAAAATTTTCTATCAATAAATAATAAAGTTCTTGTCGGCCTTGATTAATGCTGACAGAACAGGAAATGAAAGACTACTATTGAGAAATATCTCATTGGGTTTTCTATTCTATATGTTGCTATAAATTCTATAAGTTTTACAAAAATTCCATATGAAACTTCTGATAGAAATCCCAATAGAAACACTGATATAATTATCTTTCCGTTGGATTTTTTTTTTTTTGAGTGTTATATGACCTCTTAGCTAACAATTACGTAATCACAATAAAACAAAAAAGCATCTTCAAAATTTAATTTATATAAATTTCATAATAAACAATACTAAATAGATCAGGCAAACCTATAAGTTTTTATAGTATGAAATTTAAATAGTAAATTCATATAAATAATTCACAACAATGAAATAGACATAATTTTATATATAAAGATTTTTATAACAAAATATATATGAATAACATAATAAATATTTTTAAAATAAAATATAAATAAATAACACATTAAAACTTCAAAAGCTACCATCAAATCAACAATATAAATATATAAATATACATAATATATCACATCAAAGATGTTGAAGAAGATGAAAAATTAAAAAAACCCTAAACCAGAAAGTCTAAAAAAGAAAATAAATAAATAAATTCATAGCTATATTTAGTTTAGCCCAATAAATCTTATTTTCTTGCAGGAGTTTGCTCTCATGTTATAAACAAAATACAGTAAACAAAATTCAAAACTTATAATATACTATCAACACAAAGTCAATTATTTATTACAATTCCAGTTCATATGTTTATGATAAAGTGTTTCCTTAAATTTTATATATATATTAAATGATAGTTTGGGCATCCACTAATTTTCTAGAAAGAGGACATATCTCTCTATCTTGAAAATAAGAAAACCAAAAGTCTGGTTTTAAGTTTTTTACAATCAAACGGTGAGAAGAAAGGACAACACCAAAATAGAAGAACAAAAAAATGCCAAAAAATTAAACCATCTTGACTAATTAGTGTACATTTCATCAATTGGTAACATCACAAGAACCAAGCAAAGCTTAATCTTCAATCAAGATTCCATTTCCAGACACAACCATAATTCCAGCTTTGAAATCTAAGCAATTAGGATTTATAACAACAATCCTTGTCCACCTAAAACCTTATACAATCTGCCTTCTACCAAGCATAATTAACTAATAAAGGATCCAAGTAGAGACCAAAAACCTTAGCAATACCACTTACAACATACTCAAATCTTCTGGCAAATGATCATCCCCATGAACGTTATTAAGATAAAACTTTAACACTCAAAAGGCATAAGTAGGAAGCAAGACAACACCATTAATTGAAGTTTACTTTCAACTCAACACAGGAGCTACCCAACGCTAATAATCAAAGACAATATAACAACTACATAATCATTGGCTTGGAAAGTAATGCGAAGGTCAACAAGACATGAAATCTACTTCCAAAAGATAACATGTCTGTACATTGATAACTCAATTTACATAACACCAACACACTCCTCCATCCCCACCAAACAAGCTCAGGATTCCAAAACCCCAATCATGGCATATTTGTGATCAAAATTGTATCATAGAAAGATAGC